GGTCCTGCTGGTTCTTCAGGTCCTGCTGGTCCTGCTGGTCCTGCTGGTCCTGCTGGTCCTTCAGGTCCTGCTGGTCCTGCTGGTTCACTTTCTGACTTACATTAAACATTTATTGATTATTTACAGTTTGGGCCTGTGATTGTTTTTTGTTTGTTTGTGTTTTACAGAAACAAACAAAGCAAATAGAAAACCTGTAAAACAACAATTAATAATTATTATTCTTTTAAACAAAAGTACATGTTGTTCTGACGTTGTTAAAATGTTCTCAGTGGGAACTTTTTTTCTTTGTTCCAGGAATGTTGTCAGAGAACGTTTTTTGAAAACATTTTGAGCGTCCCTGTGGTAGCGTTGTTAAAATGTTTGCTGATAACGTTGTGAGAACATTGCGCTGTAATGTTTCTGAAGTGTTCTCACTGAAAGGTTCCGTTTGGTCCCAAAACGTTCCTCTTAAAAAGTAGGATAACGTTACACTTCCCTGTTTTAACTGTTTTGGTGATAACGTTGTTAGAACATTGTGACCTAACAGCCTTAGAACATTTTCCAAATGTTCCGTTGAGTGTGCCGAGTTTGTTATCCTGTAACGTTGTGCAAATGTTTAATGAAGGAACGTTCTACAATCCGTTACCTCAACAACATTCACAAAGCATTCTCACAATGTTCCAGGCAACATGTTCCACCTTTGTTAGCACACAACCATCCAGGAACGTTTTATAAGAAACCTCTCAACAGCGTCCTCAAAACATTTTTTTAACGTTGCTATGAAACGTTCTGCGGTCCTAACAACGTCCTAAAAACGTAATCTGAACGTTGCAGCTAAAGCGTTCCGTCTCAGTCCACATCTAACGTAACAGGAGTGTTCTGTGTAGTTGCAGAAGTCCACAAAACGTTCCTAGAACACTAGATTACGTTTTCTTTTAAGCAGGGCAGAACATTTCGGGAACATTTGCCAGTGTTGTGGCAGTGGTGTAGTGACTCCACCTGTGTGTTGCAGCTGTGTGGGAGCAGATCCTGGAACCAGTGTCCCAGATGAGGTCCTCCAGCGGGACTCTGAAGCTGTTCCCAGTTTACCTGAAAGGAGAAGATCTGTTTGGTCTGACCACGTCTGCAGTGACCCGCATCGTCGAGTCTGTATGTATCTCCTCAGCTCGTCTCTCACTCACAAACGCTGCTTCATCGGGAACTCTGGATGTTCAGACGACTTCTGGGGAAGAAGATCCTGCTGCTGAATACTTGACAACATCAGACGTGTTTCTAGAAGGTTCCTGCCTACAGCAGGTTCTTTCTCTCGTTGAAACCTGAGTCCGTTTGAACGTCTGAGGAACTATGAAAGATAAAAATCTGGAAGTTTTCATTGATCCAGAACCTGTATTATTGGACAGCAGATCAATAATCTGATCAAACATTGAAGAAGCTGAGGTTCCATGTTTGAGCTCATGAACAACAGAGTGAACCCGTGATGTTCTCTGGGCCACATGGAGCTGCAGGTCTCACTCATACAGAATAAATCAGCAACTGATGAGCAGGTTAGAGGTCAAACATCGGTGGACGGGCTGATCCAGGTAGAGTTCTGGAGCTTCATCGGCTCACATAGAACTACCTGCTGTCTACCTGCAGACACGTCCAAATGTACACGTTTAGCATGACATGAATGTCTTGGAATTTGTAAAGTTTCTTATTAATTTGCTTAAAGATGGAACTTTTCACGACAGCTTGAGTGTTTGATCCGATTATTGATCTGCTGTCTGATATTCCAGGTTCTGGATCAATGACACGATGAGAAACAACAGAAACGTTCTGTTTTTGTCTTTAACAGTTCCTCAGATGTTGTTCAAACAGACTCAGGTTTCAACGAGAGAAAGAACCTGAAATGTTTCAAACTGTTATCTAGTGAACTGTTTGAACCCAAACCCAGAGACCGTTTGCACATCCAGAGCTTCTGATGAAAGTCAGAGCAGAGCAGACACTCACCTGGACTCTATGTGCAGTTACCTGGAGTGGAGGCCTGTGAGCGCTACACCTTTCGCTTCGGCAGGAACCCTCTCATGGAGTGGCCTCTGGCCTTCAACCCGTCGGGCTCGGCCCGCTCCGAACCCAAAGCCTACCAGGCCAAGAGGTGAGAGCTGCTTCAGAACATCAACCCTGTGATCCGAAAGGTCACGCAGGTTCTGCAGCAATATGAAGGAAAGTCACTCAAACACTTGAGGCTGCAGCTTTTCCTGCTGCTGGATTCAAAGAGAAAACTCTCCCAGTTCTCAGTTCTCCTGAGGAGAACCTGATAGAACCTCTGACTTTAGGCTCTTGTGGTTTCTACCTTCATGTAACAGTTTGTTGACCTGCAGCAACATGAGCAGGAAGCTTTGGCTGCAGTGAGAACCACCGTTAGCTGTGAGCTGCAGCTTGACGGATCATCGATCAGGAGTTTATTTTCCCCGTTAAACGATCAGCTGTGATAATGTTTAAATGCACCGCTCATAGTAAAACTGCTCAGGTAGATAGACTCACCTGCTTCAGGTAAATCTCACTTTAAAGCACCGTGTTTCAAAACTAAATGACATGAAATTTGCCCAAAGTGACTTGAAATGACTCACAACTCGTCCAAAGTGAGAACAGCTTTGTCCAATTCTTCCCTGTCCTGACCTGTTCTGCTGGCTCCTCCCCCGGCAGGCCCTACCTGCTGACCAGCATCGCCCCCCGCTGTCAGGGCTCGGTGGGCTCCATCGTGGGCCTGGTTCCCGGCGTCATTTCTCTGTCTCCAGGCGAGTCAGTGGCCGGCGCTCATCAGGGACGCCACTCCAAGTCGTCTCAGTACCGACGCATGAAGGCCGAGTGGAAGAGCAACGTGTACCTGGCCCGCTCCCGCATCCAGGTGAGACACCTGCAGCAGGTAGACACACCTGTTGGCTTTGATTGGTCTGAAGTCAATGCATCCAGGGTTCACATGAAGCTGGTCATTCACTCTGTCATCACTTGAAAGGGGCGGGGCTGGTGCCAGGTGACCAATCATAGGTGTAGCGCTGCGTGTTACTCACAGGAGTCGACTAGAATCCTGTCCCAGCATAAAAACTTTAATGATGCGCTTCAGCCAAAACCAGGAATGAAAGCTGCAAAACATGGCGACTGTGTGAACGTGAGTTAATGAACTTCTCACGTTTGTGCCTCGTATCAGGAACAATCTGACAAACCGCTCGTTATGCAGAACTTGATTAAATGCAGGCTGACTCTGCCAGACTCGCTTTGTTTTCCACAGATCGTGTCCAGGACTCTAACAACTTCATTTAAAACAATATTTGTAGTAGGTTTATTTTTTCAGCTGTGTGTTTTTTAATGAGGCTTCGAGAGAAACACAAGTTCAGTTCTCTCTGTGTCCACGTGTAGCAGAAGTGACGACACGGTGACCTGAACTTCCTGATGGAGTCTCCTTATGCTGCTGCCAAACAGACACACTGTGTGCAGAGTAAAGAGTGAAGTGATGAAGCTCATCATCTCACATCAAGGCTCGTTCTTCTGCTTGATGCTGTTCAACTGTCGCCGCAGCAAGAGAGAACGCATTAAACCTGATGGACGGGTCAGCTGTTCAGCATCGGTTACCATGGTGATCACTGTGTGTGTGTGTGTGTGTGTGTGTGTGTGTGTGTGTGCGCGCGCACAGGGTCTGGGTCTGTACGCTGCCAGAGACATAGAGAAATGCACCATGGTCATTGAGTACATCGGCACCATCATCAGGAGTGAAGTAGCCAATCGCAAGGAGAGACTGTACGAGTCCCAGGTAACACACACACACACACACACACACACGCAGGTAACAACAAACAGGAACCTTCAGAGAATGTTGTAGATTAGTTGTTGATCAATCAATTATCACCAGTAACTTATCAGATTAAACATAAAGGAGGCGATGAGGTACAAGACGAGGTCAGTTGGTGTTACAGGTGAGCTGTAGTACCTGGATGTTCCACCAGGGGGAGCCTCTGCCTGGTCACTCAGGTGGAGGCTGAGGTCTGTCCACCTGTCCAGGTGGGCCGGACTCCAGCGGGGTGTAGGTGACGGATGGATGTGGTTGTTGTGGTTGAAGCCCCTCTGAGCATCAGGCTCTGAGGAGCTGCCTTGCTTGACACTGACTTCCTGTTTCGTTCTGTGAGCAGAACCGCGGCGTGTACATGTTTCGGATCGACAACGACTACGTGATCGACGCCACCATCACTGGAGGACCTGCCAGGTGAGACCGGTTCAGACCGTTTCGGGCCGCTCTGCAGGTTTGTGTTGGTCCACAGATCCGCCGCTCACCTGTGAATGACACGGCTGTGTGTGATTGGCAGGTACATCAACCACTCGTGTGCTCCCAACTGCATCACCGAGGTGGTGACGGTGGAGAAGGAGAACAAGATCATCATCAGCTCCTGCAGACGCATCCAGAGAGGAGAAGAGGTACCTTCATCGATAGGCCGCTGATATATCGATACATCAATGATCAATAGCCCACTGATCAATTCTCCTGCTGTCTCCCTGCAGCTGAGCTACGACTACAAGTTCGACCTGGAGGACGACCAACATAAGATCCCCTGTCACTGTGGAGCTGTGAACTGCCGCAAATGGATGAACTGAACGCACACACACTCAGAAACACACACACAGAAACACACACACACTCTGGCAGCTCTCTCTCTCTCTCTCCTGTTGAATGAAGCCGGGTGTCGCTCGCCCTCCCGGGGGCGGAGCTCAGCTTCACCTGATCAGACATCTTGATTGATAATGAAACTGACCGAATTGATCGCAGTCGGATTAATAATAATGAGGATGATGATGGGATGATTGACAGGTGAGGGGGCGGGGTTATATATACATATATATATGGATGGGTGGGGCCAGACACGTTGCGTCTCAGAGGGGGGTGAATGATTGGCAGGCGAGGGGCGGGGCTAAGAGGCTGGTCCTCTGAATTCACTGAGGAGCTCCGTTCATCGAAAACGACAAAAACACACAAACCCGCCGGACTCGCTGAGCGGCCCCTCCCCCGCGTTTGTTCATTTCCTGTAAAATAAGAGATTTTGTTCTTTTTGTATTTATTACCGAATGAAGCTATTTTCTAAAGCCGCGGTGAGTTCGAGGTCCGGAATGGCAGCGTGTAAATACCTGTACCATAAAAGAGAAGCTCACCTGGCTGTCCTCATTCAACCTGTCCAAGGTTGTGTTGCTGCCCGGCACCGGAGACAGCCGCTCCGATTGGACGGCCCTCCGATTGGACGGCCCTCCGATTGGACGGCCCCCCCAATGGAACGCCCCTCCGATTGGACGGCCCCTCTGATTAGACGGCGCCTCCTTCGCCGTCACTTTGTGTTTGTGGAGCTCAGAGTCCTGCTGCCGTGTACATAGGAGGTTTTACGAGGACTGTGCTTGTACAGACAGAAGCCTTTTTGTTTTCTATTGTTGGACGTACAGTGTGATGAAGATGATAATGATGAAGATGTCTTTTGTTTTTGGGACATATGGTGAATCTGATTTAGAATCATTTACAGAAAATAAAATATTTTACATGTTGCTTGTTGCCGTGTGTGTTTGATGTCGACACCAGGACGTCCCGCTCGCTGAAGCTGCTGCAGCTTTGAAACTTGTTTCATTTAGTTTCATCCTGTAAAAATCACAAAACCATCGACGTGGTGGACGGAAGAGCTGCTGCATCAGACTGGGAGGAACAAAGTCCAGAAATGGTCTAGTCATGCAAGAATATGATTAAAATGTCAGAAACGGGTCCAGAAATGATTCAGAAAATATCAAAAAAATCCATGAAAAACATGAAAATATATCAAATGTCTGAAATAACAGTAACTATTGTAAAACTATGTGTTCATTGGAAACCACTGATTTAACGTGAACCTGCTGATTACTGATTATAATCCGTCACGTTGTTGGTTTTTATTTTCTGTAATTTTATGTATAAATGTGCAAAGTAGGCATTATCCGGTAGTAGTGTTCTATTCTGCATCAGCTTCCAGAATAGAAATGTGAACGCTGCAAGTCACTGTTTAACTTTTTAGAGGCAGGAATGTGGACCAGAACAAAGCTGGAAGGTTTGGTGGACGGAAGAGAGAGGTTTCAGACTGGGAGGGAAAAAGTCCAAACATATAAAATATATGAATAAAAATCCTCTAAATGTCAGGAAACTTTCCAGAAATCCCAAAAAAATATCAACAAATATTAGTAGAGTTCCTCAAAATGCCTTAAAAAACATCTGAATTAGATTTTTCTAAAGAGTAAAACATTAAAGATGTGTTTTTAACTATCAGATATTAAAATGATATTTCCAACTGATTATTGAATTATTGACAATAAGACAATAATTTTTAAGTTCTACGGGTTTCTAGAATTTCTCATAAAATATCTCAATGAGGGCTGCAGGGTGGCGCAGTTGGTTAGCACTATTGTCTCGCAGCAAGAAGGTTGCCAGTTCGCGTCCCGGTGGGGGCACCGGAATCTTTCTGCGTGGAGTCTCCATGTTCTCCCCGTGCAGCGTGGGTTCTCTCCGGGTTCTCCGGCTTCCTCCCACAGTCCAGAAACATGTTGAGGTTAATTGGTGATTGTAAATTGTCCGTAGGTGTGAATGTGAGTGTGCTTGGTTGTCTGTCTCTAAGTGTAGCCCTGTGATAGACTGGTTACCTGTCCAGGTGAACCTGCCTTCACCCTGAGTCAGCTGGGATAGACTCCGCCCCCCATGACCCTGGTGAGGATCAAGGTGGAGAGATGATGGATGGATGGATGGATATCTCAATGAGCCATAATCTCATATTTAGCAAAACTTCCAGAACAGAAACATGAACTTAGGATAAATCAGCTTCAAAATATGTTTCATTTTGTCAATGACTTTTACAGATTTTTGATTTGAATTTTGAAAAAAGATATTACAAAATACTGTCAACAGCCAGAAAAAACAAATGAATTTTCTGCAAGTTGTAAGAATTGTCAGGGACACCAATGAGGACGGGAGCGCATCGTCAGGGGACGCTGATGAGGACAGGAGTGCATGCCTTCCTCCCAACGTTCAAGTGGCGACTGGTGAAGCCGCAGCTGCTGCCTTGTTGCTCTGGACAGCAGGTGGCGCTGCTGCATCATTTGATTTTCAGTCCATTCATCCATTTTCTTCTGCTTATCTGGGGTCGGGTCACAGAGGCAGCAGGCAGAGTAAGTCATTCCAGACTTCCCTCCCCCCGAGGTCTTCCTAGGGGATCCTGAGACATTCCCAGGCCAGCTGAGAGATATAATCACTCCAGCGGGTTCTGGGTCTGTCCCGGGATCTCCTCCCAGGTGGACATGTTTGGAAGACCTCGAGGGGAAGCCTCCCTGGGGGCATCCGAATCAGATGTCCAAACCACCTCACTTGGCTCCTTTCGACGCAAAGGAGCAGCAACTTTACTCCAAGCTCCTCCCCCTGTCTCTAAGGCTGAGCCCAGCCGCCCTGCAGAGGAAGCTCATTTTGGCCGCTTTTATCTGCGATCTTGTTCTTTTGGTCACGACCCAAAGCTTGTGACCATAGGTGAGGGTTGGGACGTAGATGGACTGGTAAATCCCTCTCTTCACCACACGGTCTGGTACAGTGCCCACATTACTGCTGGTGCCGCACCGAGCCGCCTGTCCACCTCCAACCCCATTTTCCCGCCACTTGTGAACAAGATCCCAAGATACTTAAACTTAAAAGCAACCCCCCCCCCACCCGGAGGTGGCACTCCATCGGCTTGAGGACCATGGCCTCAGACTTGGAGGTACTGATCTGCATCCCGCTTCACAATCGGCTGCAAACCACTCCAGTGCATGCTGAAGGTCATGGTCTGATGAAGCCAACAGTATCACGTCGTCTGCAAAAAGCAGAGACACGATCCTGAGTTCCCCAAACCAGACACCCTCCTCACCCTGGCTGCGCCTTGAGATCCTGTCCAGGAAGACCACAAACAGGATCGTGGACAAGGGGCAGCCCTGGTGGAGTCCAACACCCACTAGGAGCATGTCCGACTTATTGCCGAGAATGTGGACACCTCCTCCACCCACCTCCTCCTCCACCCTCCTCCTCCACCACCACCTCCTCCACACCCTCCTCTTCCACCCTCCTCCACCACCCTCCTCCTCCACCACCTCCTCCTCCACCACCTCCTCCTCCACCCTCCTCCACCACCCTCCTCCTCCACCCTCCTCCAACACCTTCTCCACCAACCTCCCCAGGTCGGTAGCTGGACTCTCCTCCTCTGTGGTTCTGGTGGTGGAACCAGTTACCAAACTGGTCCACCTGCTGACTCCCTCTCAGTCTGTAAGAACAGACTGAAGAGCAGCTCTTCACTCAACACCTCTGCACCTGACAGGCTGAAAACAAACAAACAAACAAACAAACAAACAAACAAACCCTCCTGTTACCTCCCTACAGCCTGCTAGTGGCACCAGCGCCGTTACACTGGACCTGTTCTGTGTCCCTCATCCAGGTTGTCTTCTCCTGACCAGATCCTTGCTGGTGTTGGATCTGCTCTCAGATGGACGCTGCTCTGGATAAAAGCTGCTGATGAAACTGTAGAATTGTAGTTTAGTCTTCAGTTTGTGTTGGTGAGTAGAGGACCTGTGTTAGCGTCAACTACAGGGATCAGTGTCCTGCAGCAGAAACCATCAACTCTGGAGCCACTGGGATGTTCAGTGTGGAGCAGCAGCTGTGTTCATCTCTATGAATGTTCCTGGATGGAGCTCTGAGGACGGTGGTTGTAAACACGGTGAGTCCAAGTGATGGACGGTGAGCAGGAGCTGTGAGTTTGTGATGTGATGCAGGCGTCAGTGGAACTCTGGTGTTCAGTGTCTGGTTCATGAGTTACCAACAGGAACACAAAGTCCAGGTGAACATCAGTCCTGATCTGATGTGTTTGTTAGAGGGGAGGAGCAGCTCTGCTCAGGTGATCCAGGTACAGAGATCAGACTCCATCTGACAGTCGACAGAGGAAGAAAACAAGGTGAGTGTTGGTCCAACATTCTTCTTCTTCTTCTGTCAGAGTCTCTCAGTCAGCTGTCTGTCTGTGGACTGGAGCAGAACATCAGGTTCTGCTCATTCAGGAGGTGGACTGTTGACTGGTTCTGGTCCACTCTGACTCTGGGTTTTATTTCCTCTCCTGAAACGTTGAACTGTGACTCTTCACAGGTTTGTTTGTCCTGATTCTTGTGCTGTGAGTCAAACTCAGTGTTGCTGGTTTAACTCTCACACTGAGTGAAGAAGATGGAGGAAGAGGAGGACGGA